TATTTTAAAAGCATCACTACCCGTATGTTAAGCATAGACTGTTGGGAGAAAGAGTAAAACCAGAAAAAAATCAAATAGTAAACAGAAAACTGAGCAGGATTCCAGGTGAAGGATGATAGTAGCTTGGATTAAGGTAGCAGCAGTAGAGGACCTGAGAATTGCTCTGGTTCTATTTCAAAGGTACAGCCAACATAATTTCTCGATAGAATGAATGCGTGGTGTAAAAAAGGAAAATCAACGGTGACTCTTAAGTTTTTAGCCTAAGCAATATGAAGAGAAGTTAGCATCAGTGAAATGAGAATGAATCCTGAATAAGTTTAGAGTTGAAGATCAGGAATTTGCTTTTGGATGTTAATTTTCAGATGCCATTTGACATCCAAATGGAGATTTTGATAGACAGATAGAAAAAATTGGATTTCAGGAAAGAAATTAAGGCTAGATATAAATTTAGAAGTTGTTAGCAAATAGATGATTTTAAAAGCCATGAAACTAGATCACCAAGATGTACAGATGGAGAAGGGGCTGAGCCCTGGAGCACTCTGATGTGAGATCAGGAAGGAGGATAAGACCAATAAAGGAAACATCAGTAATGGAGAAAGTGCGACATTCTAGAAATCAAGAAAAAAGTATATATTAAGAAGGAAGGAGTAATCCAGTGTCAAACGTTGTTATAGGTCAACTGTGTTAGGACTGAAGATTAACCATTAGAATTAGCATATGGAGGGTATTAGTGACCTTGACAAGAACAGTTTTGGTGTGGGGGTGAAAACCTGATTGGAGTAGGTTCAAGGGATAATTAGAAGGGAGGAATTTGAGACAACTGTAGACTATTATTTCAAGTGAAAATAATTTAGTATGGAGGCAAAAATTTGTTAATGTAGGAGAGAGAAGAGAGAATTGTTAGTATCACTGAGGAGGAGAGAAAGGATGGGATCTACTATAGGATCAGAAAACTTTTTCTATAAATGGCCAGGCAGTGATTATTTTTGGCATTGTGGGCCACACCTGGTTGGTCTGTCTGTCTCCCTCCCTCCGTCCCTCCCTCTCTCTCTGTGGTGTGTATGTGTGTATGTGTGTATGTGTGTGTGTATATGTGTGTGTGTGTATTTTCAACTATTTAAAAATATAAAAATCATTCTTGGCTCACAGGTCATATGAAAACAAAGGGCAGTATTTGGCCCACGGGCTATAGTTTGCTGATCTCTGATGTAGTAGTACATGAGCAGGGAGGCTGATTTTAGATAAGGGCATGGAAAGCATGCATCATTGTATAGTAAATAGGCTCAAAATCAGGGTACATGAGTTCAGATGCCGACAGGTAGATAGATGTAGTGGCAGGAGCTCTGTCTGTTTCAGTTTTCTCCAGGAAATAGGAAAAGTTATCACTGAGGGTAAGATTAGGAGTAGAAAGTGAAAATATGAAGAGAAGAATTGTATAAAATGGTTGTTAAAAAAGGGGGAGAGTGAATGAACTTGAAGAAATATAATTTTTAAAAATTTATTTTAATTAGTTTCAAGTATACAGTACATTGATTAGACATCTATATGTATAGTTCATAAAACGATCCCCCCAATGAAGCAAATATTGATTGCCTAGCAACACTTTGAAATTACTCGAGGTTTGCGTTCATAAATTTAAATTGAGACCTCTTAACACTCTTGTGTTTTTCTTCCAGTCATGTTCAGCTACATGTAAGCCTGAGTGGAATAGATGGACAAAGATTAGAGTTATGGTTTTGCCAGGTGAGTATGATGAAGTAAGAGAGGAAATCAAGGGAATATCTAAAGGAGTGATCAGTAATTGACTATGGAATTTAAATAGTGTGAAAAGGCAGGAGGTGGGAGGAGGGGAGGTCGGGGGAGTGAAACAGTGATAGGACCAATATATTGGAAAACTGCTAATGAATTTGAAGAATTGTTGGGAACCAGTGTCTAGATGGGGTGAGTTACAAAGATACGAGGTGATAGTCAGAGAGGAGGGATACATGAAATTGAGATCATAGAGAATTAAAAGTTACTGGTAGTAAGTAGCTCCAAACAGGGAATGATTAATGGAGTGGCTTAGGTGAGTGAAAAGGTGTTCGAGATGAAAGTCAAGGTATTAGAAAGAGTATTAATGTATATATTAAAGTCACCAAAAATTAAGGCAGGAGCCTTGGAGAGACTGACAATAAACCAGAAATTAAAATCACCCAAAATAAAAGTAACCATTATTGACTTCAGGTTTTATTGCACTGACATCTTAAGAATAGCTTTTAAGATTTTTATCTTTTGAAATTCACTAAGGTTTTCTATGTGGCCAAACTCGATTAATATTTGGAAATGCTCCTTGGGAATAAGCCAATATGAACTCCTGCTTGAAAAATAATAAATTATTTTTCATTAGGTTGTTCTCAGTGAATATGGAAAGAACAGTTAGAAGGCCATTGTATAGACAAAAGATGGTGGCTTGGATGAGGCTTATGATGGTAGAGATGAAGAAACTGGATGAAGTGAGAAAGATAATTAATTAATAGGACCTAATGATGAATCAAATATGGTGTGTAATGGAGAGAAGTGACAACAATGACTTCTAGGTTTCTATAACAAAGTAGATGGTCTAGCATTAATAATATAGACTTTGAAAAGTCAGGATGTCTTTGTTCAAAGTTAGCCTTACATACAAAGTGTGTAATATCCCCCAAGTTATTTTACCTCTCAATTTTCTCACTGCAGAAAGATAATATGAGGTTCTTGGGAGGATTAAAGAAATTTAAAAATGTAAAACACTTACTTCAATCCTAACATAGTGAACCCTCAGTGAGTATGAAAGGTAAGGTAATGAGCTCAGTTTTGTGTTTCAAGAATGCATTTAAAGCATTCATGTTGAGGTGTTAGCTAAGTAAGCAGCTGAATATTTAAGCTTGGACGTCAGAAAAGATCCAGACTAGAGATACAGATTAGTGAATTATATGTGTATAACTGGTAACTATACACAGAAGCCATGGGAGTGGGAAAAAAGTAGTGAGGAAAGGAACTTTTTTTTAAATTGAGGTAAATTTCAAGACATAAAATTCACCATTTTAACTAATTAGTTCATTCCAGTGATTTCCAGTACATTCACTATGTTTGCAACCATCAAGACTATCTAAATTTGAACATGTTCATCACTGAACAAAGAAATCCCATATCTATTAAGCAGTAATTCCCCAATCCTATGTCTCTCTAGCCCTTGGCGACTGCCGATCTGCTTTTTATCTCTATGGATTTGCAGGATTTAGACATTTAACATAAATGGCATCATCTGACATGTAGCATTTTGTGTGCGGCTTTCAACTTGACATGTTTTTCAAACTGATCCATGTTGCACCATGTATCAGTACTTCATTTCTATTTATGGCTGAATAATACTCCACTGTATGGGTATACCATATCTTGTTCATCTACTTATATATTGATGGACACTTTGGTCATTTCCACTTTTTGATTACTTGGCTATAAACAAAACATTCATGTAGAAGTTTTCATTTGAATAGCTTTTTTCAGTTCTCTGGAGTATATATTTAGGAGATTTGCTGGGGCACACAGTAATTTCATGTTTACTTTTGAGGTACCACTAAACTGTTTTCCACAGTAGCTACACCACTTTACAATCCCACCAGAAATTTATGAGGGCTCCATTTTCTTCACATCCTTGCCAATACTTTTTAAATTATAGCTATCCTAGTGCGAAATGGTATCTCATTGTAGTTTTGATTTGCATTCCCTTAATGACTTATGATGTTGATAATTTTTTCCATATATTTCTTTGCCATTAGAATAACTCCCTTGGAGAATCGTCTATTCAATTCCTTTGCCCATCTTTAAACTTTTTATTGATGACTTAGGAATTATATATTCAAGACAATGACCCTTATCAAATAGATGATTGGACAAATATTTTCTCCCACTTAATGGGCTACTTCTTGATGGTATCATTTGATATACAGAAGTCCATTTAGCTATTTTTCATTTCATTACTTGTACTCTTGATGTCATAAGAATCCATTGCCAAATCCAAAGTCATGCAGCTTTACCTCAATATTTTCTTCTATGATTTGCAGTTTCCCTCTCGAAGTCATTGATTAGTTTTGAGTCGATGTTTTATATGCTGTGAGGTATGGGACCAAATTTTCTTTTTCATGTGGATATCCAGTTTTGTCACATGTATCAAAAATACTATTCTTTCCCCAGTGATCTCTCTTGACATCTTTGTCACAATTAATTGACCATAGATCTATAGGGTTACTTCTGGACTTTCATTTGTTACACTGACATCTATATTCTCCTGCCAACACCACAGTTTCGATTACTGTAGTTTTGTAATAAGTTCTGAAATCAGGAGGTATGAATTCTCCAATTTTTTAAATTTCAGGATTATTTTGGGGTCCTTTGCAATTCCACATGAATTTTAAGAAAAACTAGTCAATTTATGCAAAAAAAAAAAAAAAAAAAAAAGGAACCTGGAATTTTGATAGGAATTGCAGTGACTCTGCAGATCGATTTAGGGAGTATTGATATTTTAACAATATTGTCTTCCAATATAGGAACATGGATGTATTTCTAATTAGGTGTTCTTGAATCTTTCAAAAATGTCTTGTAGTTTTCATGTCCAAGTCTTATACCTCATTTAAACTTTAGTATTTTATTTTTTGATGCTGTTGTAAATGAAATTGTTAATTTCATTTTTTGGTATGCTCACTGCAAATGTAGAGACAATTGATTTTTTATGTTGATCCTATAACTTGTGACTTTGCTAAACTTATTAGCTCCAACAGGTTTTTTTTGTGTGTGGATTCAAGTTGATCATGTATATAATCCTTTTAATGTGGGGCTATGTTCACTTTTTGGTGAGGATCTTTGTATTTATAGTCATTAGGAATATTGGTCTGTAGTTTTATTTTCTAGTGATGTCTTTGGCTTTATTTTCACAGTAATGCTGGTCTCATAGAATGAATTAGTAAGTGTTCCCTTTTCCTCTATTTTTTTTTTTTTTTTTTTGGTAAAAGTTTGGAAAGGACTGATGTTTTTAAATCTTTGATTGAACTCACCAGTGAAGTCATATGGTTCTAGCTTTCCTTTGATGGAAGTCTTTTGGTTATTGATTGAATCTATTTACCTGTACTGTTCTAAGACTATTCTATTTCTTGAGCCAGTTTTCATAGTTTGTCTTTAGGAATTTATACATTTCATCTAACTAATCTAACTGGTTGGCATACAATTAATAGTGTTCTTATAATTCTTTTTATTTCTGTAAGGTTGGTGATAATGCCCCCCTTAATTCCTAATTTTAGTTTTGAATCTTTTTTTCTTGGTCAAAAAAGGTTTGTTAATTTTATCAATCTTTTCAAAGAACCAGCTTTTGGTTGCATTGTTTTCTATGGTTTATTTACCTCTCCTCTAATCTTTATTATTTCCTTCTTTCTGCTAGCTTTGGGTTTACTTTGGAAGGTTAGGTTACTGATTCTAGATCTTTTTAAATGTAGGCATTTATAGCTATAAATTTCCCTCTGGGCACTGCTTTTGCTGCATTCCGTTACTGCTTTTATTAAAAGAAAAATTATCTAAAATTATTTTCTAATTTCTCTTTTGACTTCTTTGACCCATTGGTGGTTTAAGGTGTGCTATTTCTAGTTTCATTCCATTGTGCTCAGAGATGATACTTGGTAGATTTTAACCTTTTAAAATATAGTAAGCCTTGTTTTGTGGACATATATTCTATGCTGGAGACTGTTCCACATACACTTGAGATATCTTGGAGTATCTTTTCCCATCTTTTCACTTTTAACCCATTTGTCTTTGGTTCTAAACTGAATCGCTTATACACAGGATGTAGTTAGAATTGGAAAAGTTCATTTTGCCAATCTCTGCCTGCTAATTAGTTTCATGAATTTCCATTTAATGTAATCAGTGACAAGGAAATTTTTACTTTGCCATTTGTTTTTCATGTTGTAATTTTTTTTGTTGCCCAAATCCTCCACTACTTCATTTGTTAGATTACATTTTGATTCCTTTCTCATTTATTTTACTACATAATTTTTAGTTATTCTCTCAATAGTTACCCTCAGGATTATAATGAACTTACAACAATGTATTTGGATAAAAACTGACTCAGTTTCAATAGTAAAAAAACTGTTTGCTCCTAGGCTTCATCCTTACCCTCTTATGTTATTATAAATTATCTTTATGCATTGTGTGCTCGATAATGTAGACTTATAATTGCTTTTTCTGTTCTTTTAAATCATAGTTACTAATCCAAAATACAGTAACCCTTTTATATCTACCTAGTTACCTCTAACGGTGTTTTTTATTTCACATGGATTCAAGTTACTGTCAGTTTCTCTTCAAGATGAAGAACTCTCTTTAGTATTTCTTGTAAGGCAGGTATTCTAGTGACAAACTTTTTATTTTGAGAACGTCTTATTTCTCTTTCACTTGTGAAGGATAATTTTGCTGAATATCGAATTATTGGCTGACAGTTTTTCTTTAAACTCTTGAATATGTCATCTGACTCCCTCCCTCCTGGCTTCCACGGTTTCTGGTGAAAAAAAATCAAGTTAATCTTATTAAGGACCCTGAATGTAAGACTCGCTTCTCACTTCAGGATTCTTTGTCTATGACTTTTGACAGTGTGATTATATGTCTTGGTGTGGGTCTGAGTTTATCCTTTTATTTGTTGAGCTTCCAGGGCATCTAGATTCAAATCCTTCATCAAATTTCGAAAGTTTTTGACCATTATTTCTTCAAATATTCTTTTGTCCCCTCTCTCTCTCCCCGCTCCTTCTGGGATGCTCATTATGCATATCTTGATTTGCTTGACGTTGTCCCACTGGTCTCGGGCTCTATTCATTTTTCTGTATTTTTTCCTTTCTGCTCTTCGAATTGGGTAATCTTAATTGACCTATCTTGAAGTCTGCTGATTCTTTCTTCTGACTATTCGTATCTGCTGCTGAACTCCTCCAGTGAATTCTTAGTTTCAGTTATTGTACTCTTCCATTCCAGAATTTCTATTTGGTTGCTATTTGTAATTTCAATCTCTTTACTGATATTCTCTATTTGGTGAGACATTGCTTTCTTGATTTCTTTTAGTTCTTTGTCTATGGTTTCCTTTAGCTCTTGCAGCATATTTAAATATTTAATAGTTAATGGAAAGTCTTTGTCTAGTGAGTCCAATATGTGTGCATCCTTGAGGACAGTTTCTATTAATTTTTTTTCCTGGGTATTGGGCCATACTGTCTCGATTCTATGTCTGCTTTGTAATTTTTGTTGAAAACTGGACATTTTATTATAATGTGGCAAATCTAGAAATCAGATTTTCCTCCTTCCTTAGAGTTTGTTGTTGCTACTTGTTTTGGTTGCTGTTGTTTAATGACTTTTCTGAACTAATTTTGTAAACTTTGTATTCCTGTGTGTGGCCATTGATATTTTTGTTTGCTTAGAGGTCAACTAGTGATTCAACAGAGATTTCCTTAAATGCCTAGGACCAAAAAATAAATAAATAAAAACTTTCAGTCTTTGCCACACCTTCAACATTCAGCTGTGCAAATTACAAATCTACTTTAGTGCATGCATGTGCTCTTTTAGATTCTCAGGAATACGCGGGAAATTTTCAAAGACTTTATTCTCCAAGGTATCTCACTCTTTAGTCTTCCCTCCTACGATTTTGTGTGTCTATTGGTTGCCCCAATTTTTATGTCTTCCTAGTTGGCAGCAGCTAATAAATTTTCCTTTAAATGTTTTTGACAAATGCCCCTTGAGCAGTCACCTCGTTGCCTCAGAAGAGTTCTGGGTTAGGTGAAACACAGAAGTCTTTCTTTGCACCAGTGCTTCAGGGAGCTAATAGAAAGTTTAAAACAAACTATCACAAGTCTTGGAGGACAAGGTCGTCCTCTCTCTGGCACCAGGAATCTACACTAGAAATGTTGATTATCTTCAAAACTGCCACTGAACTGAGAATGAGGAAATGGGGCCATTATAAGTTTAAATGACACAAAGCCCTTCTATTGAGCTTCAAAAACCTGTTTCTTGATTAAGTATTTGTCTGGTTACTGTAATGTTTGACTAGTTCCCAGAGTTCACATAAACTTGGTTCTGCCAACTTCTGCCAACTTCTTTGCTGTTTATGCGGCCGTACATGTCCTTGGAGTTCCTTACTCGCCATTTTTGCTGATATCACTGCCAAGGGACTGATCCTGAAGAAGCTCAACATCTGGTAGTGGAGGAGGATGGGTCTGTAAAAAGGAATGAGAGAAGTTGTCACAGAGGTAGGATAAAAACAAAGAATGTGATATATTACAGAAACCAAGAGAAAAGAGTAATGCAAAGAAAGTAGATATCAGTGTCAAATATTCTAAGATTAAGCAGGAAAAAGATTGAAAAATGTTCAGTGGATATAGGTATATAGAAGTCACAACATTAAGACTATTTTTCAATGGGGTGATTTTGGTATTTTGATCAGGACAACTCTTAAAATGTGCGAAAGGTAGGGATTGTTCTACACATTGCAGTATATTAGGCAATCCTTGATCTTCGACAACTAAACACCACTAGCACTCCTACCCTTTAAGTTATAACCAAAAATATACAAGTCAAAACCAAAAACATAGTGCGACATATTTCCAAATGTCCCCCGAAGAATCAGCACTACCTCCTGAAGAACTGCCTTAGGAAAATCTATTATTATGATGTTATGGGAGCAGATGCCAGACTACAGTGACCTGAAATAGGAATAGAGTGAAGAATGAAACTGGTGAGGTGTCAGAGACAAGCGTTACTGGAAGTCTGGCTGAAGTGAGGAATGTGACAGAACAGTAACTGGCATCAAGGAAGGTGGTTTTCCTTTTTTTTTTGATGTAGGCCTCAGACATGTTTAAAAACAAATGGAAATGATTCAAATGAAAGGGAGAGTTTGAGTAAACTAAGGATAATCGATGAAGTAACTGAAGGGGTGGAAGAAAAGTGTATGTGAAGGAAATGTCCTTAGAGAGGTTTAACTTCTATTTTGAAACAGTGACCTTAGGACAGTGCAGATATAGTTTTCTTGTTTCTTTCCTTGTGATATAGACTATTCTAAACGCAGTAGCCAGTTGTCATTTCTCTGCTCATAGTTCTCCAATGGTTTCACATTTGAGCGCAAGCCATCCTTCTAATAGCCTATTAGATCCTTTGTGATCCACTTCCCCACCTCCTTCTTTAACCTGATCTCATTTTCTAATACTTTCCCCTTCAGTCTCTACATTTCACCCGTATAGCTTTCTTTACTGTTCTTGAACACCCTGGCACACTCCTACCACAGGACATTTGCTTTTGCTATTCCCTTTGCCAGGGACATTCCTCTCCAGACACCCGTACAGCTTGCTCCCCATTCACACTGCAAGTCTTTGCTCAAACGTGCCCTGCTCAATGACACTATTTAAAATATTACTCCTTAATTTGGTACACTTTTCCCTAGCACTTATTACTTTCTAGATAATCACATCACTTATTTACATTGTGCCTGTCTTTTCCCATTAGAATATAAGCTCCAGGAGAAGAGAGATTTTTACTTGTATTGTTCAATGTATCCCTGGCACACATTGGGTACTCAATAAATTGTTGAGTAAATAGAGAGAAGGATAAATTGAGTATAAGTAGATCTGCATATTTGGAAGTAGGAAATTTCCATTTGGTGACTTTAGTTTAGGAGGAAGTGATGTTATCTTCTGACAGTGAAGGGGAGGCACTAAAATGAGGGGGATAGGTTTGGGGAGTGGAAGTTTGAAACACTTGTTGGAACAGGTGAGAAAGCTGAAGAGAGAAATGTAAGATTGCTTGGCTGTGCTGAGGGGTCCTTTGATTTGGGTGATCATGAGATTTTAGTGGAATCTATCCATTCTATGGTTCGACAGTCTTCAGCTGTGTATAGATGCTCAGAGGTACCAAAAAAGTGAATAGTCGGGTTAACCCAGGCTGAAGAATAGCCAGACAGAAGCAAAGGGTTTAGGGTATAGTTCTCAATTTTGGCTGCACTTTAGTATCTATCACTTGGAGGAACTTTATATTGATACAGTGTTGTCCTGAATGTTTTTTACTCCTTTTTTCTAAATTGTAATTTTTGTTGCAGTTTTCTTATTTTTCCACATATTGAATGAAAGCCTCACATTACAAATCTGAGAACAAAAAGGGTCTCCTTTTAGTTATGTATTGTAGTTAAAAATAAAAACTCCAGAACAAGTGAATTTGCTTAATACTATAATCCTAAGACACGATGCAGAGAAGCCCAATGCTTTTTTGAATGAATGTATGATAACCAGTAGGGGAGCATGCATGTACCAGGTGCTGCTAAATTATTTATAAAATTTTATTTACTATCTACGGACAGCCTTATACCCTATTAAGCCAATTTTAGATAAAAGAAAACATAATCTATGAGACTTTAGTAATTTGCCCAAGGTCACACTGCTTAGTAAGTCAATGATGTAGCCAAAGCCACATTTTAATTCCATGTATGTCATTCTAATACTCATGCATTTAATCACTGTGCTATGCCAAGTTTGAGAAGGACAGAAGAAAAAGACAGAAATGAAAAGAGGTAGATAAAATGTTCAAGGAATATATCCTTATTTTGTGAACTTTTAGATATTCCAGCAAAACCTTTTAAAGTCCCTTTTACAACTAGAGGCTTGAGGACTTCGCCTTTCCATTCCTCCTCCAACAATAGGTCATATTAAGATCATGGTCACTTACAGCCTATGGGCTGACAGTTTTCTTCCTCTATTGGTCGATATGTGTCAATCTATTGATTGAAATATGGGTGTTTTGCTCATTTACAAACTTGAGTTTCCTAATTAGAAAAAAAATGGTCTGCTTAAGATGTTATATATGCAAATTTATACACATTTTCAAATGTTATCTGTTATAATATTTTATCTGTATTAGGAATAACCCAGCTTTCTCCCTGTTTTATTTGTGACAGTAGGACTGGATTTATAATTCTACTGTTCTTTTAGAAAGTAATCAGAAATAGAACCATAAGCCTTATCCTCTTGAGAATTACAATATTTCGCTATTTTCCTTGTATATATTTTTGTAGGCAAATATCATTTCATTCAACAAGTATTTACAGAGATTTCGCTTTAGTGGGAGATAACCAAACAAAATGTATAACATACTATATAGCAAACTGTATATAAAAAATAGAGTAGGATAAGGGAGAGAAGATGGTGGGGTACCATTTACATAGACTTCTCAAAGGAAGGACCTTTGTGATAAAATGAGATTTGAGCAGAGACCTAAATAAGTGGTACTGTGAGCCAAGTACATACCAAGAAGAGCATTCCAGACAGAAGGGTAGTAGTGCAAAAGTTCTGAGATGGAGACATGCTTGACATATTAGAGAAAAAGGGAGGATAGAATGGTGGGAAAGAATAAGCACATAAAGTCACTGGAAAGAATAAGCACGTAAAGTCACTGGACCATGGTAAGAGCTTTGGCTTTTATTCTGAGTGAGATGGGAAGCAAAAAAACTTGTGGGTTTTAGGATAGGAATGATACTGACTTTTAAAGGGACTACACTGATTGCTGTGTGAGCAGACCATGTGGAAATAAGTATAAAAGATCAGTTAGGAGGCCTTTGCTATGGTTCACATGTAAGAAGGTAGTAGCTTAGACCAGAGTGAATTTGAAAAAAGGTAGTGAACAGAGATTCTGGGTATATTTTGAAGATAATACGAATGGGATTTGCTGATGGAATGAATGCGATATGAAAGAATAAAGGATAATTCCTAAGTTTTTAGCTTCAACTGTAATAATGGAGTTGCTATTTCATGAAACAGGGAAGACCTGATCAGGATTGGTTTGGGGGGGACAGATTTAGAGTGGTTTTGGATATATTAAGTTTATGATGCCTATTAGACATTCAAGCAGTGCTGTAGGGCAGGCAGTTAAGTGTGAGTCTACTGTTTAGGATAATGGTATGGGCTGGAGAGTCAAATGTGAATTTCATTTAGCCAGAGGGAGCGGGAACAGAGAAGCAGCAGTCCAACTTGCGAGATTTGAATTCTGGGGCACTCTAGCATTTGGAGACTGGAAAATGAGGAACCAGCAAGGAGACTAAGGAACAGCAATTTAGGAAGAGAAGAGATAAGTACAGAATGAAATTCTGGCAGGCAAGATAAGCCGTTTCAGAAAGAAGAGAGTAAGTCATCAGCTGTTTCAAATGTTGACAGGTGAAATGAGATGAAGACTGAGTTATAAAAATTGGATTTGAGGACATGGAGGCTACTGCTGATCTTGAGCAGTTTCAATGGAGTGTAGTTTCAAGAGAGAGTAGAAGTAGAGATAAAAGTTTTTCTGTAGAGGAGAGCAGATCACAGCAATGGTGTAATATATGGAAGGCGTTACGGGCCAAGAGTTTTTTTTTTTTTTTTTAAGATGGTAACTATTAAATCATGTTCATAAGTTGATGGAAGTGATCCAGATGAGAGGGAAACAATTCATAAAGGAAGTGGACAATTTCAAGAGTAAAATGGAACTCAATACAAAAGTGGCAAATCTGGTCTTAGGAATGTTGAGTTTATCCATAGTTACTGGAGCACAGCAGTGTATTCAGATGTAGGAAGGTTGGTAGGTACAATAGTGGAGGGAAACAGGAGCCATTACTGATTTATTCTATTTTCTGGAGACATAAGCAGCAATATAATGACTTATGAGTGAGGAATGAGCATATATAGTCAGAAGAAAGATGTTAAGTAACTGTCTAAGAGAGTGGGGAAATTAGTCCGAGGGGGTGAGAACACTGAGGAGCTCACTTTGGAGTTAGCATGGTTGTGTTTTTTTCTCCAGTCAAGTTCAACAGCTCTGATGCAAACATAAAATAAATTAACCAGGGTTGTGGTTTAGGCAGGTAAAATGAAGGAAGACAAAAGGTAAGGATTGAAGTTATTTGCAAAGGAGGATTTATAACAATGAATAATGGAATCTAAGGTAGGCGATGAGATGATTTTTCTTTTAACGGGCATAAAATTTACATGTGTCCTTTAGGAAATAGTCATTGTCATTATTTGAGGTAATTATGTTCTGTAAAGTCACAATGAATACTGAACTGCTCCTAGGAGAAATACAGGGTTAAGTTTCTGAGATTGGTTAACAAAATGTTGTGACCAATCAATATATAACCTTCTTTCATGTGTGTTTCTGTTTAGACACCTCATTTAATATTTATTTATTTATATATTTATTTATTTATTTATTTATTGGTGAGGCAACCCTTGGTTGACTTCACAGATTGCAAGGACTTTGTCAGCTTACAATCCCTTGTTTTTTACGCCTACAGCACCTGGTCTTCCTAGGTGGTCTCCCATCCAAGTACTAACCAGGCTGGACCTTGTTTAGCTTCCGAGATCAGCTGAGATCAGGCTTATTCAGGGTGGCATGGCTCTAGACTGACGCCTTATTTAACATATATTGTTGATTCATTAACACTGATCTCATGGCTAAGAGCACTAATTATAAGCCTGAAGGGAGCTTATCTAGGATGCATGTTTTCTGCACAACACACATTACAGCCTTCCTGTGCTGAGGAATGCCAGACAGTACTTCAGCACTATGCTCGGTGAGTACTTAAGACAGCAAAATCACCAATAAAAAACACAAAAAAGTGAAAAACATGACACTATATATACTATGAAAAGCACATTTGCTTCTGGTGTGAGGTGAAACAAGGCTGATTATAGCCTTGTTTAACCTCAACTGGGAATGTGTATGTCAGACAAGTTAAAAATTTCCCTATATCTGCGCATGTCCATGAAGGCTGCACATATTGATCTGGGGGTTACAAATAAATTTTCCTGAGTAGTTGAACTCGCAAACATGGACTCTGTGAATAACGAGGGATGACTACACATTGCCTGGAAATGTTTCCTCCATAGTTCTACCCAGTTTGCTGCTTTTGATCAAAGAGTAAATATGAATTTCAGCAGACATTTGATTATCAAACAAGAAATTATTAATACGTTTGCTGCCAGTTTCCTAAGTTTCTGCTTAAAATTTATCTATTACTTTTTGTACTCTTCTAATCTGATGTCTCCTGTCTTCAATGTATAAGTGTTAGAAATCACACAAGACTTTTTTTTTCTCATTTCAGTCACTAGCAGTTTTTCTTTAGTTACTGACAGCTTAAGTGGGCATTAAGTAGGCTTTAATTAGTCCTCACAAACAGTAATAATCTTAACATTTGATTCGTGGATGTGATAAAGTAATGTAATTATTTTTTTCAATCGATTGTGATTTCAGGGCCCTTTCCTCACATCATTCCATTTCTTCATTAGGTCCAGCAATAATGAAACGTGTTACTTTTTGATATTGTTTTTTGGAGGTCTTGTTTCTTCTGATTTGTTTCCTATTTTGCTTTTGCTTCTATGAAAATAGTTGTATATTTACTTTATTATGTACACTACAATTCTTTCCATTAATGTTGCAAGTTTAGAGAAGAAAAAAAATCACGTGAATACCACTACCCTCAAGTAAAATTATTTTGTATATTCGACTGTTTTCCCTCCCTATATGTCAGTTACTATTGTGCCTCTAGAAGTCTCTACAATTCAATTTTGTAACAACTCCACTTAATATCCTATGCCTTGATTTATATGCCGAATCTCCAAATGAATTTTTTCCATCAAAGGACTTCAGCGAGGAAGAGGAACTAGGAGAAAAATGGGAAATAAAGGAGGGGAGAAAGGGTGCGGCCAGGGATAGAAAATCTAACAAGGACGAGGCAGTTCGACACTTTTTCTTAGTCACCCCTTCCTCTAAATCTCCAGGCTCAACCAGTGTTTTAATTCACTGTCCGGAGAGGCGATCCCCGCTCAGTCTAGAAACCACCTTACAGACGAGCAGGCACGGGGCCTTACCGCATTGTGCATAATATCCCTAAATCTTTCACACTCATCTTCCCTTGCTTGGAAAGCTCGCTTCCAGGGGTGAGACTTACTTCTAAGACGGCGCCGCGCGGGCTCCAAGCAGCCCCTGCTCGTCGCAGGCCGGTGCGCGTTAAGCGTCGGGTTTGAGGCTGGCGCCCCAGTTCCTGCTCCAGGAAGCGGGCAGGAGGGAGCAGTCGCGGGCTGCCCGCCTCCCTCCGGGGAGCTTCCGTCGCTGCCCACTGAGAAGGCTTTTGGGTAACCGTCCGTCTGTTGCCTAACGAGGGGTTAGCGACCACCCCGCCCGAGCCCGAAGGGGCGGAGGCCGGCGGCCGGAGCGCTCCCCGCGGGCACCCTCCCCCACCCCGCCCCCGCCTCGGCGCACGCGCAGCAGCCGCAGACTCCTTATTTAGTCCGAGATGGCTTCTCTCGCGCCCCACCGTCCTCCTCCCGAAGGCGGCTCCCTCCCCGCGCACCCCGGGGCCCCTGGGACCAGCCTCGAGCGGGTCCCCAGGCAGGACTCTCCCTAAACTGGAACGGCGGTGGCTGGACTTAAGCGTGAGGAAAAGCAGCGGTAACCGGAAAGAGCTGACGGGTCGCGAGGCCGCGAGCCAGGCCTCAGAGGAAGAGGAAGACCGGGGCGAGCCGAGGTTTGCCGAAGGCGGCGTTCCGGAGCTGCGCGGGGCGGGGAGGAAGGCCGAGGGTGGGAGAGGAGGGGTGCGGCGGAAACTGCCGAGGTTTGCCGAAGGCCGCAGCCTCCGAGTTGCCCGGATGTAGTTGGTGGAGCAGCAGCGGCGGCACCAGCGGCGGCACCAGCGGCGGCGGCAGCGGCAGGAGGAGGAGGAGGAGGAGGAGGAGAAGGAGGAGAAGGGCCAGGCAGCGGCAGCGGCGGGGGGAGGAGGGAAGGAGGCGGCGGAGCAGGAGGAGGAGGAGGAGAAGGCGGAGGAGGCAGTCGCTCTCCGCGCGGCTGAGCCGGACGAGTCTTCTTGCCCCCCTCCCCCCGGTTCGCCGCTGCCGCCGTGTAGTTGGCGCCGCTGCCCGGGCTGAGAGTGAGAGTGGTGTGGACGGAGGGATATGGCCCGGGAGCGCCGGCGCCAGTAACGGGGAGGTGCTGAGAGTCGCC